ATTTCAAATAGTTAATTTGATACTAATATCGATATATTTTTGTCAAATTTTTATGATATCTTCAAACATATATTTTATTCAAAAATAAAAACATTATCGCTTTCTCAAAATCACATAAAGTCATATTATAACATCGACCGAGATAAAGAATAAAATGAAATATTAAAAATCACGATGTATCTCGCTGCATTGCGTGAGTACGCTTCTAGTATATATATATATATATATATATATATATATATGTATGTATGTCTAAACAAATGAGAACTTGGCAGTTTGTGATAACTGTAAAAGTCTAATGTTAGCCAATTATTTGAGATAATTAGGATATTCTTAAATAAGCTGAAGATGCTAATTTAGTAATTTGAAAGGAAATACGTAATTAATTTTTATTACCTAATATAATCACCCACATGACGCCTTAACCAAACCCAAACCCAAACATCCCCCAAAACACCCCAAACATGACACCTTAACCACATTCTCAGAAAGTCAGACTCCAATTCCGATAAAATGTATCACAATGTGTATTTTTCAAAGTGTATCAAGTATCATTATTTTATGAAATGTATCACAGTGTGCATTTTCATTGTTTTGCAAAGGATATCACATTGTGCATCTTCTATTTATATTGAGTATCACAGTGGTATTGTTTGTATATATATATATATATATTAACATAGTCGATTTTTTTAGGTATCATAATGTATCTTGTGTTCGCTGGAATAAGATTGGCCTGAGAGAGGAGAGAAGAGATTTCTAAAATGTCCTTTAATTAAATTTGAAGTCAAAATTTTTAGTTATCACAAATTATTGAGTTCTCCCATGAATGTCCCTTTATATATGTATGTATGTATGTACAGAGAGGTGCAAATGAGAACAACAACCAAATAAGATAACACAAAAAAGCCAAATCACGTGCAAAACCATATGTGGTTTTATAGTAACCCTCAACGCAAAGGTGTGCGGGGAACGTGGCCCACGACCTCAAGTCATGGCCAAAGTCAAGTGAATCGCATGTAATTTTACACGTATATTAAACAAAATAACACGTGATTCAATGATTTTATTATTCTCTTATTTGGTTATTATTCTCGTATGAACCTGACTCTCTCTCTCTCTCTCTCTCTCTATATATATATATGTATATGTGTATGTATGAGAGAGAATTCAAATGAGAAGAAGGTCAAAATATAAGAACACAATAATACCATGAAATATCATACAAAATATACAATATGGATGTTGTTATAAAATAACCGACATAAAACAACAATAGAATGGAGAGAATGAATATGTAATTCTCATTAATCAAAATCCCTTTAAATAGGGATGTGATACAAATAGATAGCTACGATATATATTAGTTATAATTTATCTCTAATATGTTTATCTCTATCTATATCATCATATCTTTTAGACGATAACACACTTATCCTACAACACTCCCCCTTGTGCCGAGTCAAAGGAGTGATGGTGCACAACTGTTGTCTCGTTAAAACCTTACACCAAAATAAAAACCCAGTAGAAAAAAATAAAATTAGGAAGAAGAAAGAGTACAACGCACCAGTTTCTTTACAATACATAGACTTTTCCTTTTAGTCTAACATTCTTTAGGTTCGTACATTAATCATGAGTGTTAGGAAAACAACATGGTATATAAATTGTTGTCTCGCTAAAACCATATACCAAGGAACAAAATCCAATGGGAAAAATAAAACCTTGGATAAAGGAAAGAGCAAAACATATCAATATTACATATATAGTAGACTCCCCCTTTTGTCTAATATTCCCCCTGATACGTACATTAATCAAGGGAGTTTGGAAATTTTCCTCATTCCAATGTTTTTCATATGTTTCTTAAATGTGGCCTTAGATAGTGATTTGGTAAACAGATCAACCACATTCTACTCATACCTTACTTGATTCACTTGAAGCTTAAGGAGAGTATGTTGTTGCTGATTATAGAAATTTTTTGGCAAAATATGGTTTGTATTATCACTCTTGATATATCCTACTTTCATTTGTTTGATACAAGCTGCATTATCTTCATATATGCATGTAGGATTTTGAGTGGTTGAACTTAAACCACTAGCCCCTCTTATATGTATAATGACAGACCTTAGCTATATACACTCTTGAACCGCCTCATGTAGAGGAATAATCTATAAAATGGTTTGAGGAGGTAGCTACAAGGGTTTGCTTGATAGATTTCCAAGAAATCGCCATGTTCCCAGTTGTAAAAACATATCCTGTTTGGGAACGCCCTTTGTGTGGGTCAGAAAGATATCCAACATCAGCAAAGCCTACTATTATATCATTTGGGGTTTCACTGTATGGGATAACGCTTTCTTTGTTAATACTTTTAATAGGTATTGTAACCCCATTTTTTTCTAGTTGAACTCAAGAAAATCAATGAGGCTATCACTGACCTAAGATGGGTCACTGTTATGCAAGAACTCGTTGAGTTCGATAGGAACAAAGTCTGATACTTTGTCCTTCTAACAAAATTGTGATAGACACCAAATAGGTTTATTGCAAAATTGTGACAAACCCATACCTTTCAAAGTAAAGCATTGTACGGAGTCACTCATTTGTCTCCAAACGTGTTTACCTACTTTATGAAAGAAGACTGCTCATATACAGTAAAATGACTGTATGGTGCAACAAAGGACAAGCTATCCTCTAAAAACTTGTTACGTGTTTTGTACCTTCTGAATTACATTTAATGCAATGAGTATAAATAGTTGAGTAGTTCTCTTCTCAGTTATTATCTTCCTCCTCTAATCTTACCCAAGAAGATATTTATCTCTCTACTCTCTGTCTAAGAGAAAGACCCACTTTAACAAGTGAAGAACACATTACTTCTTATCTTATTTCTTGTATCAAGTATTTTCTTATTGCTATCTGTAATTTTGTGTGTATCTTTGATTGTCTAGATAGGTTCTCTATCTTATCTCTTCCGCAAACAATCTGTAAAAATATGTATTGATCTTTTTATCAATATATATTTTTAAAAGTGAAAGTTGTTGTGTTTGTATTCACCCCCATGCCCTTCCACAAATTGTTACCTATAAACTCTTGTGGATCCGACTGGGACAACAGTAAGTCTTATTTTATACATTTGAAAAAAAATAGTTAATTTTGAATCACATGATTTTGACGAAATTTGTATTTTTTTTTCCTTTCAAATATTGCTTTAAAACAATGAATTCTTTAAATAAAAGTTTAAACACTTATTTTAAATGTATTAAAAATAAAATATTTTATAAATAAAAATTTAAATTATATTAAACTTAAAAATATGGTAAAATTTGAATTTTTAAATAAATGCCTTAAATAACGTTTGTATAACTAAATTACTTTTTATGTCCTTATTTATTTATTTTTAAAATTAATTATTTAAGATATTATTTTATTTTTAAAATTAATTATTTAATGAAATTTATAATTTATATTCATTCTCTTTTCTTCTTAAATACGTATCGTTCTAGTATAAACCCGATTTTATTACATTATTGTGAATGGTATTATCACGTTAAGACCATAATTAGAGAACCAACTTCCACCCTTAAAAAAGATGACACATCGATATAGAAATATTTATTAAAGAATAAATACATTTTAATTTATAATATTTTAAAATACATGTCTTAAAATATCATTGAAATCTAGAGAGAATGGTCGAAACAAAATCCTTCATTGCTTTGTAAGAACAACCTTTTTCAATCTCGACACTTGCTCTTATCCGTTCCCCTAATTCACTTGCTTTTCTTCTCATGACTTCTCCTTTTCCATCTTCGGTTCTATTCAACACCACCTCGATCACTCTCCTCACATCCTCTTTTTCGATCCTACTATGGACCCCACTCGTCAACACCACACAAACACCCATCTCCTCGACCAACATCTTCACATTATACCCTTGCTCCGCTGCCAACGGCCACCCGATCAACGGTACACCCTGGCTCAGACTCTCCAACACTGAGTTCCATCCGCAATGACTCAAAAACGCTCCAGTGGACCGGTGGCATAATATCTCCAATTGAGGCGCCCATTTGTGCACCACCAATCCTTGTTTTCCAATCCTATCCTCAAAACCCAAAGGCAACCATTCGGTTCGAAACTCACCTTTCGGATCGAACCCAATTGGCGGTCTGATGACCCAAATAAAAGGCGTCTTGCTCTCTTCAAGTCCTCTGGCTAATTCCATCATTTGGGTCTCGCTTATTGTGTTCTGAGACCCAAATGAAATATAGAGCACGGATCTTGGAGGATGTGAATCCAACCATTCAATGCATTTTTCGGGTTCGACACCGGGTCGTTTTCCGGATCTTGAACCGACAAGACCCGTATCCGAACCCGTATTCCCTTTCAACATTTTTGATGGGAGGAGTGGCCCAATACACCAAACAGGGAGTTTTATGTAATTACGCAACACCTCCAATCCAAATGCTTCGATATCTTCAACTGTATTACACAACCAACCATCGGAATGTAGAGATAAAGAGATTTGGTGTTGGAAGAATCTGGACCATTCATCTTCACCGTCAGCAGCTCTAAGATACGGGTGGAGCTGCATGACGGAAAACCGACAAGATTCCGGGAACCCAGGCACCGAAAACTCGTCGTGATTTCCACCGTCAGCCAGATTCCGATGAGGGAGATTCAACCAAACGGAAGCATATGCGGCGGTGCCGTACGCTCCACAGGTGGTGAAGGTGTAATTAACAGTACCAAAAGATCTGGCTACCTCATTAGCCCAACTCATGAACGAATCTGAAATTATGCATAAAGGAACCGTACCTTCTTTTGCGATGATGTCAGAGATGAAGCCACAAAAAGGGGATTGGAGGGCGGTGGAGGCATAGAAGAGTTTGATGATTTGATTAAAGGCTAAGCCGTCGGTGTTCTCAGAGTTGGGAGGAAGGCCATGATCGGAGCTGTGAAAGGGGAGCGATATRAGGTGGATTTGGGTGGGGGGAGAAGGGCGGTTGGAAATGGCGGAKCGGAGGTAGTTGATGTTGAGAGGGCTGTTGACGATGGAGATGGTGAAGATGGGATTATGGTGGAGGATCTGGATGGCTAATTCTAAGAAAGGTATGAGATGACCTTGTGCCATGAATGGTAGCATGATTATGTGTCTAGAATTAGCAGGTGGAGCTACTTCTTCCATGGCTGGTGTTGCTCTCTTTGGTTATGGTGTTTGTGTTAGGTTTGAGGGTTTGTTTATATGTTACATCCCTTCCCATAAAAACAAAACGGTAATCACATGATATACGTTTAGGAGTGTTTGAGAATATTTATTAAAACAACTCAATAATAAGCACTTTTGAGTGTTTGGATAAACAACTTATATCGATGATAAACCGGTAATAAGAAGTTTTTAAAAAAGTTAAAGTCTTTTGACTTATAATAATTTGATAAGTGCTTTTATAAAAAAATACAAGTTGTTTTAAATAATCAATTCCAAACACCCCCTAAACCAGAAACATTGGTATTATCAGTAAGATTTTACGTTGAGTTGGAGATTATTTTATTTATATTTATACGATGGTTTGGTTGTTACGATATAAATGAGATATAAATGAATCAATTATAGATACATGTGATGTGAGTGAAGATGATTCTTGTGGTTTGTCAGCCCGATATGTTGCTTTCTTACCGTCCTTGAAATTGAGGAATCTTGAAAGTATTAACGATGTTAGGATTGGATGATAATTAAATTAAGAATTATAAAAAGGTTAAAAATTCGTGTGAATCGATATGATTTTTTTACAGGATTATTTAATTAAAGACTATAATTTTAACTATTTTTTATATATGTTTGTGTATGATAAAAAAAATTTCATGTGAAACTTTTTTTGGTTTACTTAGTGAAACAAAAAATACATGAAAAAAGTTTTACAATGTGAAACTAAACCATAAGGGTGGTGTTTGATTGGTTTGAACTTGGCTTCAAAGATCAAAAGTATCAGGAGGTCTCAGGTTCAAATCTAAGGAGGAATAAAAATTCTCCTGTGGCCACGGAGGTTCAAATGCGATGACTCCTGGCTATTTGCAAATCAGGTGGTCGCTCTGGGATTAGTCGGCTCGCATAGCAGGTTGGATATCCAGGTTAATAAAAAAAATGTATGTGAAACTAACGTATTATGAAACAAATATATGTGAAACAATATTCTAAAATTTAACATTTGAAGAAAAAGAATAATGCAAAAAAATATTTTTAACCGGTTCTCACGAGTTTATAAGGTAGTATACACACACACACACACATATATATATATATATATATAGAGAGAGAGAGAGAGAGAGGGAGAGAGAGAGAGAGAGAGAGAGAGAGAGAGAGAGGAGGGGGTGAGGATTAAGCGAGAACATGATCAAAACTAGATAACAAGAAAACGACCAAATCACATGTGAATAAAATATGATTTTAAATGCGTTAGGAACACGGTCAAAACAAGGGTGAGCAACAACCTGGCCCGCAACCTCACTTCACGTCCAAAGTCGCATGAATCAAATGTGTTTTTTAGTGTAAAATCACATATGATTCGTCTGTTTTCGTGTTCTCTTATTTGATTATTGTTCTCGTATGAGCCTGACTCTCTCTCTTTCTATCTATATGTATATATGTAATTTGAAAGATAATTAGATGGTCGTTGAATTAGATCAGTTCGGTTTTAGTGGATTATAAAATGTCATACAAGAACTATGATCAATCCAATCTCGATATTGGAATTTTGGATCTGATCCAATCAAATTACACGTAAACGATAATGGTATAAAAGAAATAAATAATTCAAGCTTGGAAATTGATTTAAAAATATTATAAATAAAAAAGGTCAAAAAATAGTACAAAAATTCGTAGGAGCAATATTCTCTAGTGGCTTTATGTCGCATCTATTCCATGGACTAGATTGATTATTCCATTCAAAATTATTTACCTAATTTGTTTAATAATTTTTTAAATAAAAACTTTGATTTATATATACTTTTAATAAATAAAAAATCAAATTACTAATTAAATAATGACCCTGGAAATTTTTCATATTTTTCATTTAGGTGATGTTTGTTTTTTAAGAGATGCTGAAGTCTGAAGTCTGATTTCACTTTTGATTTATAAGAGGTGGTTCTGAAGTCTGGATCAGTAAAATTGTTTGTTTTTACATGGTGAAGGCTGAAATCTGAACCGGTCAAACTAGTGCAAAAATATAAAAGATATTTTTTTTAGAAAAGTATAAAAAATAAATAGTTTTTGCTAACAAATCTCTTTTAGCCCCCAAAATAAGAGCCATTTGATAGAGGGCGGATTAGGATTAAGAAGTGTTAAGGGATACGTTTACCACTTAAAATTTCAGAGAACATTTAGAGCTTTTAAGCTCGTATTTTAAAAATAAAATAAACGTTCTTAATATCCAAACTTTCGACATTGAACCTCTGACTACCAGAAAGGATATCAGGTGTTGATGGCCCAATAGCCCTTTGGTACCTGATCTTCTTGGAAACACATCATCAACAAAATTTACCGACCTATTTCAAACTATATCAACGACCTAATTCATCGACAACACGTCAATAAATGACGGTAATCCTTCGAAAATTAAAAACCTGACCTATTGACGGTCGACAAACTGCCATTGAATTACCGACTCAATGTACCGGCAGCATTGTTGTCCTAATATGGGTGAAAATCATTTATTGGACCATGGTTTATCCATTACATACTAACGACTTTCCAGCAGATGTTTGACGGACATGTTGCTGACGGATTACTAAGAGATTTTCACGTTGGAATTTGTTCAAAAATCTATTGTTAAAATAAAGTTCATTTTGTGTTTTTTTCTCATTATTAACCCATTAGTAAATGCTTAAGAAATCATATATTATATAAAAAATATCAAATAACATTCAGTAAGACCGTTCTAAATTTAAGTAACTATGACAAATCCATATAAGAACCGACCAAAAGAGCAGGAAGGACTAGAAAAGGGGAAGGGTAGGGTCGAGATGTTTATAGACGAAATTTGTCGGTAAAATAGAAATTTGTCGGTAATATCTTATTTTACCAAAAAATTTACAAACGGAAATTATGCTCATCGTTAAGTCGTTGACATCTCAATAATTGTGGTCGTTTAATGATGAATTAGCCATAGTCACAATGTGGTCGTTAATCCATCGTTAATCGATCACTATTGTTTGATTCTTAAAGTTTTCGTTATTGCTTGATAATATGTCGGAAATTTCCAATAGGTTGATTTCATATGTTAAATCATTAATCTGACCTTTTATACCCTAATTTATGTGAGATTTACTGAATAACTTAAAGGAAATCGACTCAAATATTCATTACATCCATTCAAATTGGTTTCCTAGCCATTTTTCTTATGAATTTACTCAAATGTCACTACGTCCTGCAACCCGCAATATTTACCCAAATGTCACTAGTCTGCAATATCCACGTCCACAATCCGCAATATCCAAGTCTGCAATATTATGAACTTGGCAAAAAAAAAAAAACCAGATTCCACCAGGTTAGCAAATGACACTGTTGTAATTGCGTAGCTAAGTTGAATCTGAAATTTGTTTTCTATCTTTTAGCCAGGTATGCAATATTATGGATGTAATGACAATTGAGTAATCCGAAAGAAGAATAATTATAAGACCAATTTGAATAAATGGAATGATTATTTAAATCAATTTCCCATAATTTTTATGATGGTTTGGTTTTGTTGCGATATAAATGAGAAAATAAATGAATCAGTCATAGATACATGTGGGCAGGGACGAACCCATAAATTTTTTCAAACGGTGGCACCATTTGACCATAAGAAAAAAAATATAGATTAATTTTTTCAAACGGTGACACCGTTTGACAATAAGAAACAAACATACGGAATTTTTTTCAAACGGTGACACCAATTGACTAAGAAAATGACACTAACATGATTCAAACTTGGGTTTGGGGTGGAATAAAAGTCTTGCAAACCAACTCTACCAAATAAAATTTGTTCTCATCGTAGTTTCAAAATATATACGGTGGCACACAACAAATTAATACGGTTGCATCGTTCACGAAACCTAATTTGTTTACCCTTCGGCGGAGAAATAATACGGTGGCACGTGTCACCTATACCACATAGCTGGGTCCGTCCATGCATGTGGGTGAAGATGGTTCTTGTGGTTCGTCACCCAGACATGTTGCTTCCTTTTCGTCCTTGGAATGGAGGAATCTTGAAAGTACCATTAACGGTATTAAGATAGGACGATAATTAAATAAGAATTATAAAAAAAGTTGTAAATTTGTGCAAACAGATATAAAAATATTTTTGTATATGATTTTTCAACCAAATACTATGATTTTAACTATTGTTTCACATATGTTTGTGTTCATATAGTGGGAAAAAAAGTCATGTGAAACTTTTTTTTTGGTTCACTTAGTGAAAACGAAAAATACAMGAAAAAGAGTTTCACAATGTAAAACAAAGGTATGTGAAACTATTGTATTATAAAACAAATATATGTGAAACAATATTCTAAATTTTAACATTTGATGAAAAAAAAAACATGTAAAAAAATATCTTTTAACCGGCTCCTTGCTTTTTCTGGTGGATGTGGTTTGCCCACACCCGTGTGCGTATTTGTCTTGCATTTTTGGTTTTTTTTGCTTGATAGGAGGGGTCTCCCCCCTCCATATTATATATATATAAAAATATATGTATATATACAAATATATATATATATATATTATATGCTATTCAATTTTAAATCTGAAATAAGTAAAAACACTAAATAGTAATTAAGAATGATGCTACCTACCTCTGAAAAGGAAAAACCAAAATGAAAATGAAAATGAAAATGAAAATGTTACGGGTTCAAATCATGTCATCTCTACATATTACTGCTCCTTTGAGCAGTAACGAGGGACGACAGTTCACTAGCTTAGTGTCAGCCCCAAGCCAGGGGTCACAGTCGAGTCAAGCAGGAGCGATTCACTTGATCGACATTATTATGTATGAGATCTAGAACTTCAATGAATAAAACGTAAACTTAAAACTAAAACCTTAAATAGGTAAATATTTACTCACATTCCCGTACACGAAAAGTCGAACATGAATTCTTTGAAAATTGAACAAAGCAGTGAGTGGAGATTCAAGAGATTTAATCCCGATTTCACACTCTTGGTATCCTTTTCCATAAGCTTTATATATTCGGTATCAATGGTTCTTCTTTCTTTTTAGTTTTATTACTTTATATTAATTTAATTTGTTCGAAAATAT